AGAAAGTGAGGCAGAAAACAGTTTCTAGATTCAAGAGGAAATGCATTTAGTCCTTTTCAGCCAATCAGGATGATTTCTATCTGATGACCGTGTGACCAAACCTTTAAGGAGAAAGAATTCAGTTGCAGTGCAAGAGAAGAGGGGGCTTCACCACCATGATGGGAGGACTCGCTCTTCTGCTTCTTTTAGGAACAATGTGTGAGTGACACTTTACACCTGGTTATTGTTTCTATTAAACGATGTTGGACTATTAAGACAAATTAATACTTTACCTTTTTCACCTTCTTGTATCACGTGATCGATTTAATGTTGTTTCTTTTCTTTTCTTCAGACCCGATTGAAGCTGCAGAGGTTCAACAGGTCTCTTTGACGGAGGCTGAACTTGGTGGAAATGTTACGTTTCAGTGTTCAGTTTCTGAGAAGGAAAAATATATATTCTACTGGTACAAGCAGCCTCTTGGATGTACGATCCAAACTGTTGCTACAATAACTTTCACCAAACAAACACTTCGAACACAATTTAACAACTCACGTTTCAGAGTCACTCAGGATTCTTTGACCATCATGAATATCAGCAAAGAGGACGAAGCGACTTACTTCTGTTTCACTGGATCACAATTTTCACCACGTTTTGGTGATACCGTCTTCTTGGCTGTGAAAGGTAAAATATATTTAACTTGCAGCGTTGGCGCCACATTTGATGTCAGACAAACACTTGAGATTTGAATTCCTTTGGATGTTTCCCTGAATCGTGCAGATGGAAGTCTGCAGAAATCCTTCCACGTGGAACAAAGTCCGGAGGCTGAGTCCGTCCTGCCGGGCGACTCGGTGACCCTCCAGTGTTCTCTTGTCTCCAGGGACAAAGAGGACGGGGTCCAGTGTCCACACGGACACAGGGTGTTCTGGTTCAGATCAGGAGGATCCCATCCAGGCTTCATGTACACTCAGGATACACAACCGGGGAACACAAGTTGTGTCTATCGTCTGTCCAAAAGGATCCGGAGCTCCTCTGATGCTGGGACTTACCGCTGTGCCGTGGCCTCATGCGGACAGATCCTGTTTGGTGGAGGAACCAAAGTGGACACAAGTACGTTTTAAAGTCTCCCGTCTTAAATAGGGAATCACTCAGTACGATTTAAACTTCAAAGCTGGTGAGATTTAAATGAGAAACAAGGTAGTCATTGAAATAACTGACGTGAATGAGGCGTTAAGGGTCTATTTTGACATTTCTCTCATTCCAGGTTCAAACCTGAAAGTGGTTGTCACAGTTCTTGGCGTCCTGTTGGCGTGCTGTGTGACTGTGATTATCCTCCTTATTTTCTACGTGAATCGAAGGAGAGCTGAAGGTCGGTTAACCAGATGAACACGGACTAAATGAAACATTAACTCATGCACATTGAGCCCCACCGACTGATCTCCTGAATAAGTGGTTGGCGTATTGAGCTCAGGGTCATTTAACTAAAGTTAGTAAGTAAAACGTATCACAGCAGCAGGAGAACAAAGCTCAGGTCACTGAAGACTTGGGAAGCAAGTAGTTAGTTGAGATGTTTTCAAGCTTCAATCATCAACAGCAGCGTCACGGCTACAAATCCAACACAGTCAGAGGACATCTGTCACCACGTTCTCTGTTCATCTGAGAGCTTTTGTATTCAGCAGAAGCAACAAGCGGCGCCTGTAATCCTGCTCAATCCCAGCGGACAGCGGATCAATCAGCTGACCAGGTAAATATGTTCATAACCTTCATGCTCAGCGCCAGAGACTCAGAACATTATTCTGATTCAGTAAAAAATACCCATATATAGCACAATGGTAACCCTCTATATATGCATCCTGATGGTAACCTGTATATTTTAGACTTTACCTCTAAAGTCTGTTACTAATGGATGTTATTATTTGCAGGGCGGAGACGGAGAAGTAAGTAATTATGCAGCACTGAATCTTTCCACAAGACGTGAAGTGAAAAGAGTGAAGAAAAGAGCTTCTTCACAGGAGTGTGTGTACTCCGCTGTGCGAGTGAACACACAACTCCACCTGTAGAGCAGCGAGGCTTCTCAATGGACGGACTTTGTTCAGCTTTGAATGTTCAAAACAAATGAGGGGAAGTTCATATTGTCATTTGAAATGAAATGCTTCCTGTTGGTCGAGTTCTTCTTGTGAGACACGTGAGCACGCTGGAATGTGACTGGTTGTCGAGGCGGAAGGAAAAGACATCAGTGCCTGAGGAAGAAGTATGCCAGTTTTCATTTGCATGGAAGATGTCAGAGAAAAGGCTTATTTCTTCTTTAAGCAGTTACTTTCTAAATTGCTGCTTTTATTGTCTTAGTGGATTAACAGTGTTATTTTATTTTCATTTTAAAAAGTCTGTTTTTCAATCTACATTGTTTTTTAAATGTTTCATCTGCATTTTCAAGTGCTGTTTTTTGGTGCACTTCAATGTTCCAAGGAAATAAATACATTTGACTTAATTGCACGACGACTTAATTGCACGACTGTCCTCAACCTGCCTTTTCAAGGCAAGTCTGCTGAATCAGATGAACTAAAACATAATTTATTTTTAAAACTTTTTAACTAAAAGAAAGAAGATTTTTCTTTTCAGTTTTCGTGTGTTAAACGCTCCTCTCCCACACTGACATGTAGTGGTCATAAAGGACAAAATGGACAAACAGACAATAAACCCAGTGTAACAAATTTCTGTAAATTGACGGTATCTTACACTATTTCACAATAACTGTAACATATAGTTACATTTTCATCAGGGTCAATGCGATAAATGTAATTAAACAGTTGATACCATCAATTTATAATAACAGCAGATGACCGTAATTTAACAGCATTGTATTGAAATACTTAACTGGTCGTTATTGGGAGTGAAAGAATCAGCCAATCAGAGCCCTTGTTGTGGGCAGGCCTGTAACGCTTGTGCCTGTTGTCTTGAGTTGTTGCTGCTGCAGCAGGTGGGCGAGAGAGAGTCGATAGGCAGGACGAGGTCGCCAGTTTCACTGTCAAATCATACATGTGGGCCACCAGCAAGTATGTCCTGGTGATACATAGTTAGAAGCTAACCCAGCCAACTTCGGGCGATAGACAGGGTACATCCTGGATTGGTCGCCAGCCAATCACAGGGCTACACAGAGACACACAACCATTCACTCTCACATATACACATCTACGGGCAATTTAAAGTCCTCAATTAACCTGATCCCCAGAGCATGTCTTTGGACTGTGGGAGGAAGCCGGAGAACCCGGAGAGAACCCACGCAGACACGGGGAGAACATGCAGACTCCACACAGAAAGGCCACTGGGCAGAATTGAACCCAGGACCTTCTTGCTGTGAGGCGACAATGCTAACCACCACGCCACCGTGACGCCCTCCAATCACCTACCCCCCTAGTGTATTTAAGCTGTGTGTGTCTTTTTGTCCTTCGTTGCGTCATTGAATGTTCTATCCTGAATGTGTTGGTGAAAGTCTTGGCTGTTCCTGGTCCCGGTTCCTTTTCCCTTGGCGAGTTTGTATTTTGAGTCTTTTGTTTGGAACTCCGATCGTGACAGAATGACGCAACCACACAAGGACACAGGGGAACCCGTCTGGCTCTGGGCGGGCCCGTTTCAGGGAAAACGCTTGGCCTGGATCGCCAGCTGGCTTCCCCCGTGTCCTGCAGCCGGCGTCCCCAAAGACAGGATTGTGTTGTTGCTGTAATATTCATACAGTTCACATCCTCACTTAAATGTACTGCTCTGCAGATTGATTGATCTACAGACTATCTGCCTCCTCTTTGTGCACACAGGCCGACACTGACAGACACACACTCAGTCACCACCGATGACGCCTGGAAACGTATTAATCAGTGTGATCGGGCTTCAAACCAAACCACCTCTGTGTTCAACTCTCAGAAAGCTACGACTGCACTGCTCTTTGTAAATGCAAGTGGTAAAACATATTCCTTATGATTTTGATAAATTTACCAATTTACAGGAGTGGGTTAAGGGTAAATTCATGCAATGTCATGTCAGTGTTCTGGGAGGGGGGGGCTGTTCATTCACTAGTCATCTTTTGTCTGTTTGTCAGGAGTTTATTGCTAACGTTGAAGGTTTTACAGCCCGGCTGAAATCCGTCTCTCTGGGTAAACAGGCCCGGGGTCAGCGGGTGGAGAACCAGCCCCCCACCGCCTGTCGCTGGACTCATGTGGTTTTGCTTTGTTCATCTCACGACACACAGAGAACCTCGACAAGGTGCAGCGAGCTCACAGATGGGGGGGCGGCATTTCTTCTCAGTGTTGTCCTCCACCGTTCATCAGAGGGTGGAACTTTTATCAAACATTAGAACGTCAGGATCTTTTACGCTTTACTTCACTTTCATGACATCATTGGCCACGTGCTGAAATACTGTAAGACCCCCTCCCCCCATCAGTGGGCCCCAGTCTGCTTTGTGCGAAAGGACAAAGACAAAATCCCTCCCTTTGTGTTTGGAAGACGTGTCCTACAGAGTCCAGTAGGGGGCTCCACCTGTGATATGGAACTACAGCTACAACATCTTAACACTTCTTTTCTTCCCATCTTCAAAGATAAATGGAGAGGAGCAATAGAAAGATGACCAACTTTGTTTCCAGTTTAGAAGCACAACTTTAATCCCATTTGTTGATTAACTTTGAGTGAGAACAGCTTAATGAGAAGCAGGAGAGAACCTTTCAACAGCCACTGTGGTACGACTAGTTAATTAGCCAGAGAGCATTATGCAGAAATGGATAACTTAATCCTTTATATATATTTTGCATTAAAGGGGTCCAACATCTAATGCAGCTGTAAGTTTACATCAAAATATGGAGCATAGAAATGGTGACAATGCAGATGGTTCTCTTTAAAACGCACACTTGGTGCCTCCTACAGGCTCTCTAAATGTGGCCTTTGCACACGGTGGCAGACAGAAAGAGGCTGTGAGAGTAAAGTCAGTGTAACAGCGTCTGAGATTAATCTTTGCATCATAGTGTAACACAAAGCAACTAGTGCTACATGGAAGCATGAGGTAATCCTCTATTAGTCCCAAAGCGGTGAGCAGAACACATCACATGTCATCACGGCCTCTCGGCCACATACAACAGCCTTTGGACTTCCATCACACACGCTACCAGCTGATCTCACTGAGTCCAGGAAACATGCTAATCCGACCCGGAGGCCTTGGCAGCAGCGTGGATGTTCTCCCTCTGCGCTCCCTCTGAGCGCCTCCTTCCACCTGACTTCATCACGGTGAAGACGGCAGTAGAATAAGTCCACGCGTCTTCATTCCTCTGAGCAAACGGATTGTACATCACTTAAATGGATGAATACTGATCAATATACATCATATGTTCATCTGATCAATTGATCTTACCTTGAAATTCCCCTTTGCAACATTTTCTAGCAGAGAAGCAGCCGCTAAACATGAGATACATAATAAACTGTTGTTAGAGTGATAATTATGATAATAAGAGCTAATTAACGAGTGACAGGAAGCTTCTTACCTTCATTATTGCAATAATCACACTTATTTGTCTTGATGACGTAAATGAGAACGGCTGCAACATTCAAACTAAGAACCACGACAGAACCCAGAAATACGTCACCAAAGGACCAGAACCCGTCTGAAACAAACAGAACACAGAATCACATACAGCACAATATAACCCTACAACACAGGGTTTAACACACAAATGCTCAAATCAATCTGTATGGACACTTCGATCTCTTTAAAGCTAAAAAGATGGTATCCGACCCCTCTCACCCCGGACAGAACCTGTTTGTGTCCCTTCCATCTGGCAGGAGGCTGAGGTCCATCAGGACTAAGACCTCCCGCCACACCAACAGTTTCTTCCCGTCGGCAGTCGGGCTCATCAACAGAGCCGGTCCCCCACTGACTGACTATAACATCCCACCAGTCGCTCCCCTTCACACTGCACACGTCACTTTAACTGTCATTTATCACTTTGTCGTCACTTTGTTACTTGTTCGCTAGTGCACTTCATGCCTAATATTTAAACTTTTTTAATATTTTAAGTTTTTTAACTTTAACTTTATTCCCTTGTTTTATACTAACCCATTGCATTAGCATTTCACTTTACTTTATTTTATTTCTTGTGCACTGCTGTCTTGTTGTCTATTGTTACACTGTCTGTCACGCACCAACCGCCAAGACAAATTCCTTGTATGTTTGACATATTTTGGCAATAAATGTTTCCTGATTCCTGATTATTTCCTGTAAGCCACACGGCTGGTAAATGACCAAACATTGTTCAAACCTGCATTTATTCATTTATTTTTCTTCCTAGCATTAAAGTTAAATCGTACTGAGTGATTCCCCTATTTAAGACGGGAGACTTTAAAACGTACTTGTGTCCACTTTGGTTCCTCCACCAAACAGGATCTGTCCGCATGAGGCCACGGCACAGCGGTAAGTCCCAACATCAGAGGAGTTCCGGATCCTTTTGGCCAGACGATAGACACAACTTGTGTTCCCCGGTTGTGTATCCTGAGTGTACATCAAGCCTGGATGGGATCCTCCTGATCTGAACCAGAACACCCTGTGTCCGTGTGGACACTGGACCCCGTCCTCTTTGTCCCTGGAGACAAGAGAACACTGGAGGGTCACCGAGTCGCCCGGCAGGACGGACTCAGCCTCCGGACTTTGTTCCACGTGGAAGGATTTCTGCAGACTTCCATCTGCACGATTCAGGGAAACATCCAAAGGAATTCAAATCTCAAGTGTTTGTCTGACATCAAATGTGGCGCCAACGCTGCAAGTTAAATATATTTTACCTTTCACAGCCAAGAAGGTGCCATCAACAAAACGATGTGAAAATTGTGATCCAGTGAAACAGAAGTAAGTCGCTTCGTCCTCTTTGCTGATATTCATGATGGTCAAAGAATCCTGAGTGACTCTGAAACGTGAGTTGTTAAATTGTGGACGAAATGTTTGTTTGGTGAAAAATCTTGTAGCAACAGTTTGGATCGTACATCCAAGAGGCTGCTTGTACCAGTACAATATATTTTTTTCCTTCTCAGAAACTGGACACTGAAACGTAACATTTCCACCAAGTTCAGCCTCCATCAAAGAGACCTGTTGAACCTCTGCAGCTTCAATCGGGTCTGAAGAAAAGAAAAGAAACAACATTAAATCGATCACGTGATACAAGAAGGTGAAAAAGGTAAAGTATTAATTTGTCTTTATAGTCCAACATAGTTTAATAGAAACAATAACCAGGTGTAAAGTGTCACTCACACAGTGTTCCTAAAAGAAGCAGAAGAGCGAGTCCTCCCATCATGGTGGTGAAGCCCCCTCTTCTCTTGCACTGCAACTGAATTCTTCCTCCTTAAAGGTTTGGTCACACGGTCCTCAGATAGAAATCATCCTGATTGGCTGAAAAGGACTAAATGCATTTCCTCTTGAATCTAGAAACTGTTGCCTGGTGCCTCATGGTAACGGTACATGAATTGTTATGAATAAAGTAATTCATTCATTGATGCAACAACTTAAGTATCTCATCATGAATTGTAACTTTATAAACCCTGATAGCACACAGATTACGGCATCCCGAGCTTCTCATTCGGAGTATTTAAGTAATGTACAATTACAAGCAGGGTTTAAATGTAATCTTTTTCATCCGATTGGTCCTTTGGATGTCATGATAGTGTTGATGAATTGCTTTTAAACTCACTTACAAAAGCAGATGTGATATTTTGTTTTTGAAGAATAGAAACGGTGCTTCCTTGTTTCCTCAGAGACAAACCTGCAAAGACCAAACATCAGAGTCCAGATCTAAACCCCCACGGGCCGAACCCAGAGGAACACGCTCTCCTGAGGTCCCCAAACAGCTACAGATGTTTTATGATGTATTTCAGAATCATAGAAGTATTCAGATGTATGTTGCTGAAGCTTCTTCCGGATGGTTGATTTTGGACCACATGAAACCATGATGGTTAATGTTACATGAGGGTGATGTAATGCATGACATCACAGCTTAACTCAAAGACGCTTTAAGTCAAAGGTCAATGAATGTATTGTAATATTAAGGGGAATAGAGATTGGTCGCCAGGTGGGCTGTCATGGTGACCAACGTGGGAGGAGCTATGTTTAAATGTGCAGACAATCACGTACGGCCACATACAGCTCTGCTGGAGAAGATGCAGGCAGAAGCCTGTGGAGATTTCCTGTATTTGCTTCTGTTAGTTATTGATTTCTAAACTCGACCCAGTTGATTCTTTTGACCTTTCACCTCTGGCCAGCCGGAGGGAGAAGGGAGCTGAGCGTTGGTCTGCTGGTAGAACCCTCATGGACCTCCACTTAACTGTAACGTCCTCATAGCATGAACAGATACTGCAGAAGGAAACATTGTAGAGCTTCGTTTACCTCACAGAGAAATCTGACTGGTTACAAAATGTATTAATTTCAAAACTTCTCCGTCTCTCCACAGCAGCCTCCAAACAAATAAAACCACAAACAGCTCAAGTAAAACTCTACTCAGTGTCTACTGCTCTTCATAGACCCGCCCGTCCCCCGTCCCCCGTCCCCCGTCCCCCCGTAACTAAGACTAAATGCTGAGAATCACAGGAAGTGATTGACACCTTATTTTCACACTTAAGCCGCAACGGTCAACTTTCCACGCGTCATTTGTTTGAGAGTGGTGT